TGCGTAATCATAATGTTCAACAAACTCCCTGTCCTCGGATGATAATCTAGTGTTTGAATAATAACTGTTTTTTGATGACTGATTATTAGCTGATGAACTGATGATAGGCAGTGCCATAATTTAGTTAATAATAATAACTATTATTAACTATTATTGTTAACAACTATTATTAACAACTATTATTAACTATTATTATAATTATTATTAACAATTATTAACAACTATTATTAACTATTATTATTAACAATTATTAACAACTATTATTACAACTATTATTATAACTATTATTATAACTATTATTAACTATTATTATAAACTTTTATTGACAACTATTATTATCAACAATTATTATTAACTAATTATTATTAACAACTATTATTAACTATTATTATTACCAACAATTATTATTTAACTAATTATTATTAACTATTTTTACTAATTTTATAGTTATTTGTGTTTTATATTGACTTTATTTTTAAAAAAAAATAATTAATTAAAGCACACAATATGTTTGGATTTTAATTATTATTTTTTTTTAATAAAATTTATTATTTATAAACAGTATATTATATTTTTATTTATAGTTATTGTAAATTACAATTAAGTAAAATATATTATTATTATTATTATTATTATTATTATTATATATTTTATATACGTATTAAATGATAGTATTTTTAAAAAAAAATTAGAAATTAATTACAACAAAATAAAATGCATTTTATAATACATTTTATTGAATTCAATTGAAATTATTTTAATTGTATTTAATATTCAAAACACACACACATTTTATATAAAGTATTTTATTATAATAATTATTATTATAACTGTTTTATATTATTTAAATGTGTTATTTAAAGGCACATAACATCAACAACAACACAATTATTATTATAATACATATAAACTTTTAGATTTCAMTTTAAATATATATATATATATAAATATACAATAGATTTAATGCATTTTCAAAAAACAATAAAAAAATTTAATCACTTATTTTAAAATAATWATAATAATAACACTTTTATTATTACTATTATTAGTTTTATTATTAAAAATTTTTAGTYACTTTGTGTGTGTGTCTTAAAGTTTTACACATTTTGTATATACAGTATATATATATATATATAATATAAATATCTATTCAAACAGATTCAATATAAATTTAAAAACACATTTTTTTGTGTGTGTATTAAATACACTGTATTAGTAGTAAACACTTTAGTTATAATATTTTGTTGTATAAATATTTTATTATATTATTAAGCCATTTCAAAAATTTATACATATATACTATGTATWTATATAAATACAGTATATATATATAGTATTAACAACACATGTTGTAATAAGCGACAGCTATTTATAAATTAGACTAATATATTATTGATGTATAATATACAGTATATATATATACAGTATATTTATGTATATATATATATATAAATTGTATAAACATTTTAAAATTATAAACAGTTATAAACTATATAACACAAAAAAATTATACATGTATTGCATGTATATTGTATAACAAATTTATTTTCAGCAATAATATGTTATACCAAATTTAATATTTAAATATAATAATAATAATAATAATAACTGATATAAAATAAAATTTTCAATACTTTACATGTTTTTTAGTCGTTATAAAAATCAATTTAAAAACAAATCATTATTAATATACTTAATATAGTCTATTAATTAGCTATTATATCAAAATTTTAATTAATTTGTAATATAATAATATCGCACTTAAATAATTTAATACAAATTTTAACAACAATTTTAACATTACTAGACAACCATTACTAGTATCAGCAATTAAACTAAAAAAATATATWTATTTTTAACTATTGAATCCACACAACAATAATAGAAAATAAAAATCATTACAACAATAATAATAATAAAAGTTTAGCGCAAAATCACAGTCAATATGTTTTTTGATTATAACTTAAATCATTAAAAAAAATATAATTTTGTTTTTTTGATTATTATTTAACGACTGTATAAAACATTTTTTATTAGTAAGTTATATATATATATATATATATAATTATATTTTACTTTTATTTTTTTATATATATAATAGTTGTCTATGATATCCAAAAACAAATGTGTAGACAATTTTGAAAACTAAAAAATTTTATTATTAGCTAACTTTCAAAAATCAATAATAATTTTTTTTAGTTTGTTTTTTGTATTTATTTTTTTTAGTGTAGGTGTATATATATATATGTCAAATAAATGTATGTCATATATATATATATATATAATTATCAATACATATCACTAGAGAGTATTATAGAAAATAATATTATTATAATAATAAATCATAACATATATAAAATTGTTAATAAATTATTTTTACTGATTTTATTATTATTATATTATTATTTTGTGTTAAAATTATTTTATACAGTATATTATATWTATATATATTATGACAATTGGGATATATTGTTATACAAACTATATATAACTTATATATATATATATATATATACCAAATGTTTTTAGCAACAAATACATTGATAAATCAAAATATAAATTTATTATTTTTTATATCTATATCATTGATAGAAATTTTSATATAAATCAATATAAAAATAATAAAATTAAGTTTGCATTTTGATATTTAATTTATATTAGATATATATTTTTCTATTATATAAATTTGATTTTTATTTTGTATGTTTATTAACTGTCTCTGAAACTGTAACTGTATGTGTATGTGTATGTGTATGTGTATGTGTATGTGTATGTGTATGTGTATGTGTATGTGTATGTGTATGTGTRTGTGTRTGTGTATGTGTGTGTGTATGTGTATGTGTGTGTGTGTGTGTGTGTGTATGTGTATGTGTATGTGTATGTGTGTGTGTATGTGTATGTGTGTGTGTATGTGTGTGTGTGTGTGTGTGTGTGTGTATGTGTGTATGTGTGTATGTGTATGTGTATGTGTATGTGTGTGTATGTATGTATGTGTATGTATGTATGTGTATGTRTGTGTGTGTATGTAAAACAATTTTAATCAATACAGTATATACAGTATATATATATATACCTACTTGTAGTCAAATAGTGCTAAATAATAATAATATAATTTCAATACATATACAGTATATAACAACAACAAAAAATCCTAAAATATACTAAAACTTTATTATATAATGACAAACAATAACAACAATATAAAAAAACAGTAAAAAACACTTTTCATTATTATTTTCCACTTTCAAGTATTTTTACATTATATTACAAATAGTATATATAAACAATTATATAAATATATACTATATATATATACAGTATATATATATATAAAAAAAAACTTATGGCACATGTGTTTGACACACAATAGGAGACAACATTACTATTACTTTTATATATATATATATTAGATATAAATACAATTACTTTTTTTAGTTAAAGTTAAAGTTAATGATAATAAAATTGAATCAAATAAAAAATAGTATCATAAAAATAATACACACACAAAAAAACATTAATTACTAAGTAATTACTTTTTTAAAAATAAAAATAAAAAATTATTTTCTATTTAAAAGTTTATAATTAATAAAAAATATTATATAAAAAATAAATTGTTAATAAAAATAGTAGGATTTTATTTTTAAAAAGATATTATTAATTTGATTTAATTTTTCATTAATTTAAAATCTAATATATATTTATTATTTTATTTGTAAAAACTAATTATAAAAAAATAATATTTAATTATTTATTTATTAAAATTCAAAAAAATAATATTTAACTATTTATTTATTAAAAATTAAAAAATAAACTAATATTTAATGTTAAGTAAAATATTACAGAATATTCTGTAATAATAACCAAAAAAAATTTTAATAAAAATTATTTCATTTACTAACCCATAGACTTCACTATAGTTGCCATTGAATTGAATGCCATTTTTGAAAATATATTATTATTAGTGTTGGTAATTTTTCGCAATTCAATTTTCGATTGCCGCAATTGCGGAAAATTGCGTGAAATTGTTTGAAATTGCGCGCATGAGGGAATGTATAAAAATTAACTTTGACAACGTTAAAAATTTTGTTTACAATAGATTAAAAGAATTTACTAATTTATTATTATTTTTACATGGTTTTTAGATGGCAACATTTTATGATAAAATAATTAAATTTTATATAATTAATTTATGTTTTTATTCATATTGCTTTGCCATTTAAATTTTGTTAATTTTTTAAAAATTATAAATTTTTCTATGTTACAATTGCGATTTTCGCAATCGAGCTTTTTGCAATTGCGGCAATTTCACGCAATTTCCGAGCAATGCAATTGAGCATTTTGCAATCGGTACATCACTAATTATTATTATTATTACAATGACATCACTATTACTATGAAAAAAAAAATTAAATTATATATAAATTACGTAAAAATAAAACTGTTTTTTAATAAATAAATAATTAAATTATATATATTTTTTAAACAAAAAAAACTAAATTAAATTAAAATATAATTTTTTTTTTAATAATTAATACTTACTTTTAATATGTATAACAAAAAATGCTGTTTAATATAATGCATAATATTTTTTTTGTAGACATTTATACTATAGAAATTACTATTGAATTCAATGCTAGAAACAATCAACAAGTGTTCAACAATAATTCATAATAAACTGTACTCTATTTTAATACACACTAATACACACACATTGTATATACTGTAATATCACTACTAAATAGTGTTGGTATACAACCCATAATATATAGGGGAATATTCCCCAAATAAAAATTCCCATTTAACTACAATAAAAAAATAGTTTTATTTTATAATTAAAAAAATAAATAAATACTAATATAATATTAATAATAATGATTAGTAATCAATAATATCTAGTTATGTATAAAAAATTAATTAAACATTAAATTCAAAGGGAAAATAAACTTATCGGGAATTTTCCTAATATGGAGGGAATATATGTCACTAATACATACACACAAAGTGGGTGTCATTAGTATTATTAGTGTTGTTGTCGTTAAACATAACAAAACAAAACTAAAAAAAAAATATTTACCGATTGATTGATTGATTGATTGATCCGCCGATTGGTTGTCCACTACCGCCGCCGCCGTCACCGATATATTACAGTCAAAAAAAAATAGACAGTCAAGTGGTCATCATTACCGCCGACGCCAACCGAAACACAACCGAAACTCAGCGATCCGTACGGACTATATATTTGTTGGCCAACTAATCGGTGTATTAATAACCGACTACACAATCACCGATACCGTCACCGATACTACAGTCAAGTGGTCATCACTACCGCAACCGATACATAACAACTTCTCCGCACGGGATCCGACCCTTTAGTTGTGTTGACCACCGACTGTCAATCGGGTGTTAATAACCGACAACACAAAACACAATCACCGTTATCGTCGCTGACCACCCGACCCGTTCCCAATCCTAATCATGAAATTGTGTCCAATTTGCGGACCAAAATTGTCCGTTTGTTGCGCCGTACTGTCCGTCTGGGGTATCGTAATGTTGGCCATATTGGGCGGCCTATTGAAAATCAGGTCGATTGCATTTGCCGAAGATATATTGGCCGATATTAAATCGGTAGATTTGGACGATTTTGGCCGCCAGGCTACCGATAAATACGATAACGCAGCCTATAGTACATGGGTTGCCGCCGTTATCTATGTCCTAACGTTGGCCTTTAGCCTGTTTCAGGCGGCCCTAAACAAACGTAGCGGTAAATTGTAGGACACAACGAGTTAACCGACCAAATTGGTGGCCAAATGTTAAGTCCCGATACAAACAAGTGGTCATTTCAAACCCGTTTTTTTTTGTTGTTGTTTTAAATACATATTTTGAGATAAAGAGAGACATTATTATTATTATTATTAGGAAACTATTGTTTTATAGTTTTTTGTTTATTATATAAATATTTTATTTATTATTATTATTATTATTATTATTATTATTATTATTATATATATATATAATCGGATCAATTGATTGTGTGTTTTGATTATTATTATTATTATTATTATTAGACATAATTTAATACCTAATTAATTAGTACATCCATTAAGTGCCTTAAAAACCTACCGTTCCTTATATATATACCTATCCTTAAATCCTCTCTCTCTCTCTCTCTCTCTCTCTCTCTCTCTCTCTCTCTCTCTCTCTCTCTCTCTCTCTCTCTCTCTCTATCGATGCCTTAAACTAAACAAATTTATAAAAAAAAAAAATTATTTAATGTTTATATATATATATATATGATATGCTATTATTATTTTTGCTAAAACACAATAGTTATTACCATTATTAATGTGATTGAAAAAAAACACATAAAAATTTGTTATAAATTTGTTATAATTTTTTTAATTGTTTTCATCCAATTGTTTTCCAATATATATATTRATACACTTTCTATACATACATATATATATATATTTAAAACATTTTTTTTAATTGTGTAAACATTTACATTAATTAAACTGTTTTTTTCTCTCCAAATCTATTAGTTTATAGTGTTTTACATTTAATGGTTGTAATTATTATTATTAGTATTAATGATAATTATATTTACATTTTTTTAATTAAATATCTTTCTATATGTATATAAACATGTGATACAAACAGTTATTTTTATAGATACATGTCATGCATATCACATATATATATATATATATATATATATATATTTATATGCCGTATAAAAAATTAATTACAATTATTATTATTATTGATACAAATTATGACAATTTAAAACAATAATAATAATTAGTAACTAAAACAACACTAATATATAGTCAAGAATTTAATTTATTTTTATTTTTTTTAGATTATTCAATGTATTTGTTGGATATATATATTAATAAAAACAGTTTTTAAATTTTCAATTTTTATTTACATATTTAGAAATTATATATTTTTTTWTAAAAAAAATTTCTATTTTACGTAAATCTAATTAATTAATTAATTAATAATAACAATAATAAACATTTATTATTGATTAACAATTAGTTAGAAAACTTACACACAATTTGTTTGTTTGTATTATTATCTATGTATTTGTATAGTTAAACAATTAATATATATATATATATATATAACAGTTATATAAATTATATAAACTATTTTATATTATATATATGATTGCAAMACAACAACTAAAATTCAAATTGTTTTCTAAATTTAAAAAATAGATTTATTTATTAAAAAAATTTTTATAATCAAGTAATGAGTTTTTAAAAACTAATTAAAGTAATTGAAATTAATTTTTAATAAACAGATTTTTAAAAAATATTTTAATTGTTAATAAGATAAATAAAATTATATATATAATGTTTGTCTAATTTAATTAATTAATTGATTTATTAGTTTTAATTTTTTTTATAAATAAATTACCTAATAATGAGATCAAATGAGATTAAATCACATTAAAAAAATTATGTGTTTAAATATTTTTCTAGTATTTATTTATTTAACTAAAAATCATAGTAACAAAAATATTTAGTTAWTTGATTTGATTTTTTAAATTAAATATATAATTTATATATCAATTATAACTAATTAATTGGATAATAAATTTWAAAATAATAATAATTAGTTTTAATATAATTGAGTAGAGATCGGAATTTTTAATTTATATGTTTAWCTTGAAATTAATTTAATTAAATTAATTAATTAAAATGTTTTAATTGATATTTTTTGGGGAAAAATTAKWTATAGTTAAAAAAAAATTTCCTACAATACAGTACTTAATAACAAAATTATTAGTATTATTAGTATTATATAAATACTAAATTAAATTTTTTAAATAAATAAATAAAAATAATATTTTTGGTTTGTATTTACATAACATCAAAAAAATAATAATACAATTAAGTAATTAATAGATAACAACAACAATAAAAATTAATTGTTTGAAATTAATGATAGAAACTAATAAATCAAAAATTTTTTGTTAATTTTTTTTTTGGTTAATAATAACAATAATAAATTAATAAATAATAATAATTATTATATTATTGAATATAATGAGTATATTTAGGGATTATCACAGTTAACCTTATTTTTTCAAATTGATAATTATTTTTTTTTGTTAAATATAACAATATATATAWATATATACAGTATATATAAGTTATTAATTAATTAATTAATTAATATTTTTATAATTAATTAATTACTAAATATGAAAATTTTATTTCCATTTAATGGACCGTTTAATCGATAGTCATATTTTATTTTGTTGTTGAGGTAATTGTTGTGGTTTTTCAACAATACTACAAATATTATTATTATTATTATTATTATTATTATTACAACTATTAGTGCAATCCTCTGATATCAACCAATAGGTTGTCATATTTCCCTTGCCTTTGATGGGAATCTCGCCCCGGGATTCGGTAATAAACGTACCGAAAGAGTCCAATAGATTTTTGGTAGTATCGCTGATATGTATTTTTAGGGCTGTCCTCACAAAATACACCATCAATTAGTATAGTAGTAGTAGTTGTAGTTGTAGTTGTAGTGGTAGTGGTAGTGGTAGTAGTAGTGGTGGTAGTAGTAGTGGTAGTAGTAGTGGTAGTAGTAGTGGTAGTAGTAGTGGTAGTAGTAGTGGTAGTAGTAGTGGTAGTAGTAGTGGTAGTAGTAGTGGTAGTAGTAGTGGTAGTAGTAGTAATAGTAGTAGTATAGTAGTAGTAGTAGTAGTAGTGGTAGTAGTGATGGTAGTGGTAGTGGTAGTTGTAGTGGTAGTGGTAGTGGTAGTAATAGTAGTGGTAGTAGTAGTAGTAGTAGTAGTGGTAGTAGTAGTAGTAGTAGTAGTGGTAGTAGTAGTAGTAGTAGTAGTAGTAGTAGTAGAAAAATAAAATAAAAATAAGTTATTAAAACTTTTGTTTTGCATAATAATAATAATAATAACTATAATAATAATTTGTATACAAAATATATTTTTTAATAATAATAATAAATAACTTTTAGAATTTTATTTAATTTTATTATTTGAATTTTTAAAAAAAAATCAAATCAATTATAAAACTAATTAATTTAAACCATAGATTTTTTTTTAATAAAAAAATAATTAACTAACTAAACTATACTAAACTAAAAATTAAATTAATTAAATATAAATTTTAAATTTTTTTAAAAACTTACCCTCTCCATTTGATTCCATACGAGAGGCTGTATTAACTGTATCACCTATACAAGTGGTTTAAATAAAATATACAAAAATTTATAAAAATCTAAATAAATTAAATTAAATAATAATATTAATATTATTAATATTAATATTATTAATATTAATATTATTAATATTATTATTATTAATATAATATGTATTTTATTTTTTTAGGATTATCACTGTTAACCATAATTTTTTTCAATTGATAATTATTTAAAATAACAAAATATATTGTAAGTTATAAATAAATTTAATATATTTAAAGTTTTATAATTAAAAATATAATTTTTTTTAAAAACTAAAAAATAATTAAATACCAAATAATAATAATATTATTATTAATATAATTAGTATTATATTTTTTTAATAGTATTAATATTATCACAGTTAACCTTAAATTTTAAGTTTCAATTGATAATTAATTTAAAGTATATATATATATATATATATATAGAAATAAATAAACKSATAATTAAAAGTTTTATAATTAAAAATCTAATTTTTATAAAAACTAAAAAAACTAAAAAATAATTAAATACCTAATAAATTWAATTAAATAATAATATAATTAATATTATATTTTTTKWATAGTATTAATATTATMACAGTTAACCTTATTTATTTTTAWKTTTCAATTGATAATTAATTWAAAATATATATATAAKTAAATAAATAAACWSATAATTAAAAGTTTTATAATTAAAAATCTAATTTTTTTAAAAAAAAAAATACTAAAAAAAACTAAAAAATTAATTACCAAATAGACAATAGCGGGGCATTTTCAGGCCGACCACACCGGCCACACACGAACCCGAGTGTAGGCCAATGCGTAACCTTAGCTGATCGTCGGGTCGRTGCCGTATACGAAACGATTTGACCGCTTCGAGTAAGGCCAGTGCCATACGGCATATCTCCCGTACGTGTCGCTGACCATTACGYTGGGGTAGACCCGACACAACCATATAGGCGTCACCGATGGTCTCGACTTTATAGACATCGAAACAGTCGATTGTCGAATCAAATGTTGTATACAAATCGTTCAATAAGTCGACAACCTATTGGATGGGTGGGTGTGTAGGGTATGGGGTATAACAAAATGTGTGTTTGGGTGAGTGGGTGTGTATGGAGTATAACAAAAATGTGTGTTTAAGTGTGTGTATTTGTGGGGTATATAACAAAATGTGTGTTTGGGTGGGTGGGTGTATGTGTGGATATAAAAAAATAAAATTTTATTATTAGTAAATTTCATAATATAATATCATAGATATATAGATTATATACTTTATATAAATTATTTATTATATCTATACTAGTATTTAGTAAATTTTTTTTTCAAATATAGTGTAGTTATTATTATGAAAATTTTGATAATTATTTTTATAAATATTTTTTTACTGCAATTGATTTTATATTTTTCTAAATATTAAATATTTTAATAATAATTTAATATAAATAATTTTAGATAATATTTATTATAATTAATTATCATTATTTTTAAATACAAAAACTTTTATATTACTAACTAATTACTAAGTTTTTAAAGTTTTTTAGACTTTTAAATATTTTATTAAATATTATTTTATTATTATACTTGTATTAGTCTATATAAATTTTAAATTAATAAATAGCATAAAATAGTTGTTTAAATGTTTGTAATTAAATAAAATTATTTTAATATAACTCTAATTATACATCAAATCAAATCATATAATAATTATTGTATTTATTTGATATATTTTAAAATTTTAAAAAAAATCTATTTATAAACATTTCATTCAATAATAATAAACACTTTATATTAA